GCACGAGATACATTTGTGCGTGCACGAGATGGAAGGCTGACAGACAGGGCGGCAATCCAATCCGTTTAGCCGGCCCGGTTGTGCTTTTTACAGTACTACGGCTTCCACAGATGACATTTTTTTATGGATTTTTTGTCAAAGCACTTCAGATATTCATTGCTATCGGGATGTTAAGAGCATTCCATGGAATATAACAAAAAATGTATCTCGAGCCGGTTTCTCAAACTTACCTACCCCACCTTTAATTTGTGAATTTCTGCTTTTTTTTTTAATACTGTGAACCTAGAAAAAAAAGATTACAAAAATGATCTATTATGCATCCTGAATTCATGACCAATTTTCCCCCTGATGTTACTTGCCGTCTTAGCCAATAATATCTGATAATAAACAGATGTACAAAAGACTTACTGAGTGCTCGTCATGGTCCATAGTCTGAGCCAGGACAGGGCTGAAGGACACGGGGGAGAGAGCCCCGGGCTTTTTCCTCACAGCTCTGATCTGCAGCAAGGCTCTGAAGGCTGGTAAAGTAACACAATAAAACACAATAATAATGGACAGTCATTAATGTAAATGTTGACCTGTCCTCAAACAGCATCAATAAAGCCCTTTTAGGAGAATAACTGTTTCAAAAACAATGTGAGACTTCTTACGCAGCCTGCAGATGGGGCAGTTGTTGGCCTGGTAACGCAGGGTGTCTGCGCAGGAGTTGCAGAGACACAGGTGTCTGCAGGGCAGGATGAGAGTGTCTCGCAGGTCGGACAGACACACAACACACTCGTTGCTGTTGTCACTGTTCTCATCGTCTGACTGCTGGAAAAGGGAAACAAAATCAAATTAAAAGTTAAGCAAATGAAACAGAGAGAAAGGTTTACAGCATTGTGATTTATGAGGTGATGTTAGTAAAACCTTGGTTTCCTGGTTGTTTTTGTTCTCAATCCCATAGATCTCCTGCAAGAGGTAGCTCACACGATCCACCTGAAAAGTGCATTAACGAAGTGTTTAACTTATCCTCTCCACTTTCTTGTTTTGCCTTCATTTGTTTGGTCCGTTTAGTTATACATTTGGGCAGGATTGTACAAAATGAATTGATATATATTTCAATGCTGAATGTTATAAAAGGCTTAAAATGAATAGCATCGGTCTGAGCTCATAAATATTTAAACGTTAAAAAAAAAAAAAGATGGGGCTCTAAAACCTGCCAGACTCCCAAGGGTCTCGTAACAGATTATTTTTGTCTTTTTTCTAAAGCCGCAGATGAGTATGTGGCTCACTGATGATCTGCGTTAACATCCTGCATTGTATTCACAACACAATCACAATTCACTGACTAGTACTGAGGGTATTTCAAAAACAACACATTTACAAAAATCGGTGTAATACGATACTTACTTAATAATTTGCTAATCCATAACATGATTAATAATATATAAAATAAGAAAAATCCTGAACTTACAATTTGCTTCTGCTTCAGTGGTTTGACAGAGAAACTGCCATCAACGTGCTGAAGTTAAAAGAAAAAAACGTTAAATATTCATATAAAAACATTTATCTACACCAAGTGAAATGATTTACGTTAGATGTCTACATACTCTTTCAAAGGCTGCCAAAAGTACGTGAGCATGTCCGAGGCAATCTTGAAGAGAGAACACAAGACTTTGGTTGATAGTGATGTTGACCTAAATGTTTATTTAAGCTTACATTGCAACTGCTAACACTGGCATAAATATTACAATTTGTTATGACTGTCGAACTATTCCTTCACATTACTATCTCTGTCTTACTACGTCTTCATTTATATACAACCAGTCTCAATGGAACAGATGTCTCGTCCTGACTGTGATGCAGCTCTAGTAACTTACCGTCCCCTTCATCAACGACAGCCTGGATTACTATGGGAAACACTCCTCGGTCAAGGTCAAAGTTCAGCTTTAGGAGAAGAGAGACATAGTTGCAAATATTTAACGAGTTACCACAGGTGTAAACCGAGGACATCCATGTGTGTAGGTCGGAAGTTGTGTTGATAATGTAGACCTAGATACATGTGTGCTGTATAAGTGTAAACAGAGGATATTTACAGACATAGAACCACACCGATCGTTGATTAATGTGTGTGAGAAACTCCAAAAACTGCTGCAGATACTTACATCTTCCTCTTTCCACTGAGTGAAATCTATTTTGAAAGACGGCATGGAGAACTGTTGGCTCACTCCTCGCTTGTAGTGCACAGTTTCAGAGACCAGTGACGGATTCTTTGGGCTGTACCTGCACACACAGTATGTTACAGAGAAGATGATCAGTGTGCAGAAGCATACATGAATCTTGGATGTAAAGTGAACTCTGTTTCGTCAACTGGGCAATTACATAGGTTGACATTTAGACATTTTTCTTTTAATATCTTGTACATGCACTACTTTGTAGATAAACTATTATAATAGAAATAGATACTTTGGATTCTGGAGACATGTATCATCTTTCTGTCTCATGTAATTGTAACACAATAACTTCAGTACCAACTATTACTTTCATCTTCTTCTAAGTTTCATCAGCGGTAACCATGGCGACTGGAGGTTGCTAAGGAGCCAGTGTATCTATTCTAGTCTTTGTGCTCCAAGGCTTGAATCTTACAGATAGATGTGCACTCTGTTTATTTCATAAATCACTATTAATATATTAAAAAACTACATAAGTGTCCAATTTCATTGGTTTGATTTTTAGCAGCTCACCCTTTGTGATAATAATGGCTGAAAATGTATTAAAACCCCATTCAAAAAGGAGTTTGAGAGCAGATTCTTACACTGCCATCCCATTGGAGAACTCCTCAAACGCCTGGCAGTAGAGGGTGATGGCCACCCGAGCGTCAGCATCAAAGGTGAACTCCACACCATACTGAACCTTTGGTTTTCCACCTTCCTCCACAGGTGTGTCAGAGTCATCTTTATACCTAGAATCAAAAGGTTTGACAAACTTTTAAATATTTTCCTTAAAAGAGTTCACTTTTTACTGAGACTAGTGTGGTAATATTGCTCTGCTTTTTGTTACCTGACCAAACGCAGAGAGTCCTTTCTTATATTGACGAGACTCCTCAGGGTTTTGACAGGCTCGTGGGGTGCAGGCGTCACATATGGAAACTAATGAAAAAACAGCAATATGGATGATATTTAATTTGAAACTCAAAGCAACATGGTTTGACTCATCCTATTACTGAGAAGAAAGGTAGAACTATATCAAAGTCGTTTTTAAGCTGCTCTCAGATGAAAACTAAGAAAGATAAATATCAGTCTTTACCTGCACTGGCCTATTTCCAAGAAAGTTCAGGTCCATGTTTTCTCCAAAAAGGTATCCCTCTGGATGTGGTGTGTCAAACTTTTCTCCTCCCATGAAGAAGTGGCTCGCAAAATAGTTCCCTGAGGACATGAGAAAAAACATGAAAAATAATGGCACTGCAAGCAACATTATATAGTGAAAAGGATGTATATACAGCTAGTTCAAATCACACAACATCATGCCAAGCTTTGTAGCATGGGCATGTTACTCAAACGTCTAAATCTGAAGAGAGTTGTGTTTAATTACAATCATTGAAACTACCCATAAAACAAAACATATAATACAATCAAATAAATAAGGTTAAAAATAATTACTTTGTTTTAGTCATCATAGGTTTTTACTGAGATGCGGGGGTAACATGATGAGCTGAAGGCCAGTTGAAAGGAACATATGATGGGTTCTAAACAGAGTCAGATGTATTGGTCTAACATTGACATGCCAGCTCCAAACTGTGTTTTTACCGTTTGAAGGTATCCTAATAATAAAGTGAAAGTGTTAAAACCATGCAACACTTAACAGATACTTCTTTATATAGCTTTGTAATCGCAGGCTAACAAGAGCCTTAGAGATTTCTTATGCAAACTATACATTATTTGTTGATATGGGTGTCACTCTCTTAGTGTCAGTATGAGCTCGTGGATGATCAATTTAATGTGGATATAACACTTTTTGATTGTTTTGATGATTGTTTTCAGTGTTGGACATACATGTATTATACAGCATGATCACAATAACAACATATCAACCTTGAGATACATACACGACTGTAAACATCACAATGCTTTCTGAATAACGGGTGACAAAGACAGTCACATCTCTGTATGCTCATATATATTTCTTATGATTGTCTAACAGTGTATTCTAGCTGATGAGAGTCAACAGCAAGGAAACACCAATTAGACCCTTATTTACGTTAGCGAGTGTATGCTCGGTGTCTCGTTGTTTATTATTGCTTAGAGGATTCTTGGTTAAGGGAGATCTGAATTCAGCCAAAAGACACTAGCGATCACCTACCAGATTTCGGTGGAAATCGATAGGCCGAGTTGGCCTGGATATCGATATCCTCAACACCAGCGATTCTGCGACTCAGGATGGACCCCATCTTCCTGGTGCTAGCTACAGTTAGCCTGGCAGCTATCAGCGCGTCACAGTTCCGATGAAATCTCCCTTCAAATGTACACTAACGCCAAACAAAGATTATATCGACAAAGTACAAAGGGTGTCGTTAATCTGACATTGTACACGTTCAGTTTGCCCAGTGGCTATGTTGCGAATGCTAATGCTAACAGGAAACAAATAGACAAGGCTGTTGTTTTGCCAGAGCTGTGCTAACGCAGCAGGGAGGCAACCTGATTGGCTGTCTCCAAGCGTTCCAGAGATTCAGGGCGTTCGCTTTCTGTCTGGGGACCGCCCGGCGGGGAGGAGATCAGGAGGGACGAGAGAGTAAAGCACGGTCTATAGTACGAACCGCTGCTCCATAATGAACAGCCCTGTAATAACTTGTTGCTTTGCGATTAATTATTGTTGTAAAATCACCACTCTCATGTAATTTATTTTTCATTCTGTACGTTTTAATCTGAAGTGTGTTATTTGTTTGACACCATGGGGCGTGTTGGTTTACTGTCCTCCAGTGGTCACAGTAGTGTACAACTGTTAACAATGTTATCAGATGAGACACCTTTATTCATCCCACAGAGGGTACAACTACATTTGTACAGCAAGTAAAGAGCCAAAGATAGCATACTATTAATTAATACGTATGTATAAAATATAGAAATGACAAAATTCACAATTTACAAAATACTCATCTAGTAGGCCTACCAATAATAAGACAAGTTAGAGACAAATAATATCTGCAGTGTCATAGTGGTACAAACAATACATATAAAACAATACACATTTCCAAATATAAATTCAAGAAATATGTTTACATTTAAACTGAACTAATATTGTCAAACTTAATTTGTCAACATTATTGCAAAATGCAGGTGCAGGTATTGTCATTACGAGAGATTGAACATGTAAACTATAAATGGTGTGGTTGAGCAGCTTGGAGAAGATTATTTAAGATCATGCTATCATTTAAAAACATCCAAATGATTCAAATAGATATCTATACAATCTTAATCTATCCAACATTGAAGTGAACAGAAACAACATTTAACTGTTTAAAACTGTATTGATTAATTTGTGCAATAAATAAGGCAGTTAGAATTATACTTACAAATAATGCAGATCATACAGCTTATAGAATGTACTTCATTTATTCTGTATACACAACGGACTCAGCTGATCTCATTTATATGATTAAAGTGTCAGATTTGGCAACATAGAACACAAATACAGTAATTGTCTTTATCAGATAACATCGACATTTCATCTGATAACACTTGGATTTCATTGGATGAAATGTCCACTTTGGTTTCTTAGTGCTTTTTCATCTTCCTCTCTGGAAAAATTGGCATCTCAGGATAGCTTTGTTTTCTTCCGATATCTTCAAACCTTCGCAGAGGAGGTCATGGATTGTCTGCATTGAATCCACCTCTGATCTCCAAAGTGCTGCTCTGGCTCTGATAAACTGTGAGACCTCAGTCTCGCTTCCTTTGGCCAGACTCATGCTATCTTTACAGATGAAGAAGATATCCATGCCAAGGAACAGAGCATTGAGCCCTATGAGACCGGCCCTGGCTGAGTTGGAGAGGGCAAGAGGCCCTTTGACTGCTGCCTGACCGATATCTGGGATATCTGACGCCACCCTGGGAACGCTGCGTAAAGCTTTCCCTTCCTGCAATGCCACTTTACCAGCACTCATAGCCAGCTCTTCACTTTTTAACAGCTTGAAAGCAGAGGCTGCATCAACTAATGAGTCAATACCTTTACCAGTAACACCTGCTTTAGCTAGGACCTTGCCGACCCCGAGAACAACATCTATGTGGGTTTGTTCTCTTTTGATGACCTCCTCCAGACACTCCTGGAGACACTGCACATCCTCCATGAAGCTCTCGAAGACTTCTCTGGCTTTCTTTTGATATGTATGGTTTACTCCAATCTCTGTGGCGGTGGTGACAGCGCTGTTGACTCCGCTTGTAATTCCCATGCCTACCCCGGTCAATGTCAGAACCAAAGACACTCCAGCTGTTACAGGAATTAAAGCCAAACCAACGATGGAGAGCACACCTCCTACTGCCCCCACTGAGCTGCCTGCCACACTGGAGATCTTTGCTCCCTTATTCATCCTGTCTAACTGAACAGCATGCTCCTCCAGGTCCTTGAGAGACTGTTCCATCCTCTGCTGTCGCTCTTTAAACTTATCGATGAAGCTTGAGCAGGGTTCGTCCTCCTGAAACAAGAACACCATCCGGAAGCTCTGGTTCATCCTGACGATGAAAATTGAAGAAAAATACAAATGAAAATGATGCATTTAAAAACCTTAGTATAGGTAGTAACCTTAAATGCAGTAGAAAAACATTGGATTATAAATTGTAAAAACATGACCTCTAAAATCCTGCAGTTGCAGCAAAATGTACGTTAAGAGTCCACAGTATTCATACTGTGTCTCCAGCTCCTTTGCATTTTGTTTAAGTATTTATTTATTTTGTTATTGTTATTGTGTGACCATCTTAGTTCAGCATGTTTTCTAATTAACACTATACTGAGGTAAAGGCAATGTCTTAACCTTTGCAGAAATTTGGTGACAAACCAAAGTCTGGCAATTAAATTGATTAAGTTTGACACGACAGAGCGCTAGAGGAAAAGTAAGTTGCTAACCAAAGACATTAGCTTTCATCATCTGGGAACTATTAACATGTGTACAAAGATTTGTGTTGGTCTGTGGAACAAACAACAAGCAAGCTAATACTGAGTGCATTTCAAAGTTTTCAATATCATAACTCATCACACCTTGCACAGCTGTGTTGACAAAAACCACATAAAGAAGTTACACGTACCTGAGTTCCTCGAGCTGATTAATGTGATGAAGCATCCTTTGCGTGTCGTCTTCAGACAAATCCACAGCGAGGTCTACCAGTGTATCGTCGTTCATCTTCAGTGAAAAGTCACAGAAGGAGCTGTGAAAAACAGGAAAATATTTTTTATAATAGATGTTTATTTTGCTAAATGTGCATATTATTTTAAGGACATTCCTCTTTACCTTTTCTCTAACTTCTCACAGATGTTCTCGGTGGTCCTTATGTATTTGTCCAGCTGATATGCCAGCACTTCCACATTCTGAAGTTTGGGGCAGAAGAAGGCGTCTGCAACTCTTTTAAACTCGAGGAGGTGAGGGCAGATAATCCGTGCAGCAATGATGACAAGCTGAACCGTTACAGGGCTGATCCCTTCAGGCAGATGTAACACCTGGTTCTCTTCCATGAACAAATGAAGTGAGGTGACCGCCAGATTCTCCACCGCAGCCAAGAAGCAGTCGAGCTCTTCCAGGCCTTCCAGAGTGGACTTCAGCAGAGCAGCCAGCTCCTTCTCCAGATCTGCTCGCCTGCTGTCTGCAGTCACCTGGGTTACCTTGCTCTTCATATATTGCAGAAAGGCTTTACCTCTGGTCTGTGACTGGGTAACATGGCCAATGCTGAGGTCAATGTTATCAGCCCTGGTTTTGATGTCAATCATCATATCCAACTCTTTCTCCCTCTTTAGTATCCATTTAGAACTCTGCTCACAGAATTCTTTCACTGTGTCGATGTCGATGAGGGTGTCTGCGGTGTAGCAGCACAAGGCCTCCTGGAGGTCCTTTCTATAACACAAAACATCATTCAGTTTGTGAAATTGGAAAACAAATTCAAATTGAATTGCCGTTGTGCCGTTGTTGGCTTTTATCACAAGATCTACCGTATATCTCCAGCTCTAGCTTTAAGTGTCCCCACCAAATATTCCCTGGGCCCAAAGCCTCTGGTCAAACTTATTCTTAAAAACACAGACAGCCCTTGATTATGGTTTTCTTACTCATTTACACAGACTGTTGACAGTCAGAGGAGGATTGGCTCACATCTGAAACCCCTCGCACTTAAACATAGGGTTTTACTTTAGGACCATCAATAAATTACCATTTTATGAGACAAAACATATCTTATTTCTAAACCACCATGCTGATTCATATAAGTGGCCAATGGCCATAATGCTAAAACAAATGTCACTGCAGAATTCTATAAGTACAATGAACAAGAGAAAAACATGTATTATTTAATGAAATTTAGTCCACATTCATCAGTATGGGTAGGACTTTTGTTGTGCATTTTTATGTATTAAAGGTCACCTATTATGCAAAACCCACTTGTTGATGTATTTTATAAATAAACTTGTCTCCCTTGTAAAAGAGATCCGTGATCTCAAGGGACCTATCTGTCTAAATAAAGGTTTGAAATGAAAAATGAAATGAAAATGTGTCCCCTCTGTGTAAAAAGATTCTGAAAGTTTCAGGATAAAAGATTGGCTCACTTTTTGTCCTGATTCATTTATATAAAAACCTGTCTGAAAATGAGCTGATCATATTTTGGCCACTTTATGATGTCATAACGATTTTTTTCCTATTGTAACCATTAGCCAATTACCAACCAAGGTAACAACCCCCCCCACCTTATCACCTGAATCTCCTCCTAGAGCACCATTGTGTTCTTTTTAACCAGATATCACTCAGAGGGGCGTGGGGAGTGGCTTCTTATTTTCATCTAAAGTAACAGACAGAGAATCAACACTTTAGAAACAGGGCTGAAACAGAGGGGTTTTTTGGGATGCTACAATGCATGATCTGTTTGGTATTTCGAGCCAAACACATCAGAGACATGTTTTGTATATATCTGAGACCTATAATATATTGATGAAAAACAGTATGGGGACCTTTAATGTAAAAATCTTCCTCAATAAAATAGAAAGTTGACTGAATTAATAAAAAACGTTTTTCCTGTTTGTCGAGTGCAGTAATGATATATGTTATGAATTTCGAGTCACTGGGTAACATGAAATGGAAGGTATGCAAATAAATGTGTAATGCCTTATTTGTCCAGTATAAAGACGCAGCAGAAACCGGCGTGAATGTCTTTCAATTGACCAACCTAAAGCTAACTTCACCGAGTTAAATATCTAAATAATTTGACCAAATAACTCAATTTCTGTGCTGAGGAGCGTCGGTGTTGATCTGCTGTGGCGGAACATTAAGACAAAAAGTTAGAGAGCCTGTCTTTATCTTCAGGGTAAACTCAATACTGAAGTTGAACCGAAGTAAGAGTTCTGCTTCACCTGCACGAGTCACCGAGACAAAAAGCAACTACAAATTGAGTGACGTAAAGAAACTAAACTACAACAAAGAGACCGTGCTATGGCTACTTTTCAGTTTGTTGCCTTTTATCACATGATAGGCTTTAACATTACTTCCTACGTATATTTACTATTATAAAACACACAGTGGAAATAGCTAAAATGACACTTACTACAAAATAAATCTTTAATGTATTTTTCTGTTCAAAAGTGTCTCAACGATATTGTTTACCTTGCAGCAGACATGTTTCTCCTTTGACAGTGTGCGTTCTTCAATTCCTCCACAACTTATTACCTGCGTGTTTAAAATGAAAACAGAAAAATATTGTACATCTAACTTGTAACTAACACTGACCCGAGAAACTATACGACTAATCTGCTGAAAGCACTAACGCCAGACTACTTGTTAAGGACTTGTGTTGACATAAGGGCTGACGTGTTAGGTTTCATTTTCTTTTCTCCACCTCACCAGGTAAAACCACCCCACCCATTCCTGGACTGAGGGTTGAAAGGTTTAAGGTAGCAGCACACCTTTTGGTTTCTTGAGAAAAATAACTTTAAAAAGGCTGTCCGAAATAAACATTTTACTTTATGATGCTGTAATGACTGATAAGCTGACAAGATAAGCTGAATTGATTTACATATTTAATAAAGAATTATGTCAGTTTTTTAGCTTTCAGTAGTTGTGTTTCAGTAGTTGTGTTTCAGTGACTTTCAATCCATAATAGTTATTATGACTACATGGCCAAATAGGACAGACCTATTTTATTGGATTTTACAGCCTTTTCTATTTTATGAGAAATGACTTCTTAAAATTAGGAACTTCTCAAAGATACATGTGATGAAACAGTGATGTGTAAGCAGTTTCAATCAATCTCATTATGTGGTTATTTAGTGTCAGATTTGGCAACAAAGAAGAAATACAGTAAATGTCTCCATGTTGCTGTCAGTTGCCGTCTACCGTTTACCCCTCACTGTTTATTCATCATTCAATTCATTCTATATTTTATTCTGTCGATTGTGTACATTACTTTTCAATTTACTGATTTTTGCACTCCTGGTTAGAAGCTAAACTGCATTTTGTTGTCTCAGTATCTGTAATCTGTGCAATAACAATACAGTTGAATCTAATCTTGAGCAGGAACAAATGTATTTACTTAGTACATATCTGACATTAACGATTAAACACATTTGTGCATTCTTTAGAAGAGAGACACTTGCTCTGTCATAGGCCTACTGGGTCAGGCTACAAGGAAGTGGAGAGGAAAATATCACAAACAGAATACTACAGGATTGCTGGGAATACACAAAGTTCCAGGGGCGTGGGTTTGGCTGGACAAGTAAGGAGAGAACGAGGGCATATGGAGTGGAGACCATAAAGTTTGCCAAAGTAAGCCCATTTAGCAGTGTTCCCCCATGGCTTTTCCCAGAAGCTATACAGATGTGAATATACAGTACTGTATCTCATTATGTTCACTTGTTAATATTGCGATACTAAATCAAAATATTTCTAATTAAAGTGACATAGAGGATCCTTTTTTTCATCGAGTGGATTTTGGCTTCCATTCCATTGGCTTCCACCAATTATCGCTATGAACTATTATCACCTATTGCATTATTACGTTACATTTCATTCAGCTTATGCAAATAGTCTTACAATCAGTGTAATCAACCATGAAGATACAGACTTAACACACCAGGCATGCTGCAAGTACATAAGCTTTCAATGAGCCACAACTTTTTACATACAGTACTACATGCTGAAATAAGAAGTTTTGTTAACGTTTAAAAGGTTAAGGCGCCGCTGGATCCAGAGTGAAGAGGCGTGTCGGTGATGATCTGCTGTGGCAGAAAGATTAAAGGGGACCTATCATGCAAAATGCACCTTTGTACGTCTTTTATACATGAATATGTGTCCCCGGTGTGTCAGGGAACTCACCAAGTGTCAGAAAACACAACCCTCTCTCTTTTCCTCCATACCCAAAATCTCTAAAAACGGGGCTGCAACGGATCTGATACAGACTGATACAGATTTGAAATATCTCTGATGTCAGTGACGAGGAGCTCCGCCTATATGGCCAACTCTCCACCAATCAGGGGAATGAGAGGTTGCCGTGGCATGGTAACAGCATGGTAACATGACGCTCGTAACTCGGCCCCCTCCTTTGCAGGGGGGGGGGGGGGTGGTCAGCTGCAGCGCATGCAAAGACAGGGGTGGGGGGGAGCAAAATAGAGCGAAATGAGGCATGGCTAAAATGCATGATGTTTGCTATTTTGAAAAAGAAAACGTATAAATATACCTTATATAGGTATGGCCCTACAATATATTATTCAAATATAGCATGATAGGTCTCCTTTAAGACAAAGAGTCAGAGAGCCTTTCTTTATCTGCAGATTTAGCTGAATGCTGAAGTTGTACTGAAGTTTGACCTGTGAGTTCTGCTTCACCTGCACCTGTGACTGAGATAGGTATTAATCAACTTCACATGGCCAAAAAGCCACTACAAAGACAGACACAGAAGAATGCAAGAAAAACAACCACAGACAGATGTGACATGGCTACTTCTCTATTTGTTGTCTTTGTTAAACAACAGGCTTTAACATTACTTCTTCCGTTTATTTAATATTTCAAAACTCATATGACACTAAGTTGTTACTCGAGGGTTAATGTCTTTAATGTATTTTTCTGTGCAAAAGTGGCTCAACTATATCAATGCTTTACCTTTCAGCAGACATGTTAACAATTATTATTGCCTGGTAGTTAAAGGCAATAAAATCCAAAGGATTGTTGCCAAATAATTTTTACATTCAAATACATAACAACCTCAAGAATAACCAAACAAAAGAAACCCTTTACCAAACTCCCCTCTCTCTTCCTTGACTTCAAAGTCAAAGTTTATTGACATCAGCTGGAGTTGTTTAGTAAGTCAACTTTCTCCGGTTGACCTGACTCTGGCTGACTACCAGTTGTGCTGAGCTGCCGGTATTATCATTACGAGAGATTGAATGCATAATATATGAATAGTGGGATTGAGAAGCTTAAAGAAAATAATTAAAAATAATTATAGTAAACAAAAGCATCGAAATGCTTCGAATATATATCTATATATTAATGCATCATTCAAATGAACAGAAACAACTTTTTAAAACTTTATTGAGTCATTTGTACAAGAAGAAAAGGTAGTTAGAATTATACATACAAATAATGCAGATCATACATATTATAGAATTAACTTCATTTATTCTGTACACACAACATCTTTTCCACGTCCTTGTTGCGGGATCCCTCTTCAGTTGCTCGCCCAGACGTTTCTTTTTCATTTGAACCTGTTTATTCTGGAGTTTCTCTTATTTAGTTGTTCTTTGTGCACTGCAGGGTTATATACATTGAATGTGATTAAATGATTGATTGATTGATATTTAGTTTAACATTAGTATATAGGAAGGTTTAGAAAAATCACTTCTTAGAATGAGGAACTTCTCAAAGATACAGTATATGTGATGAACAGTTATGTGTACGCAGTTTAAATCAATCTCATTATGTGGTTATATCAGATTTGGCAACAAAGAAAAAATACAGTTATTGTCTCCATTTAGCTGTCAGTTGCCGTCTATTTAAGTTGCTTAGCGCTTCTTCATCTTCCTCTCTGGAAAAATTGGTGTCTCCAGGATAGCCTTGTTTTCTTCAGATATCTTCAAACCTTCGCAGAGTAAGTCATGGATCTTCTGCCATGAGTCCACCTCTGATCTCCAAAGTGCTGCTCTGGCTCTGATAAACTGTGAGACCTCAGTTTCGCTTCCTTTGGCCAGACTGATGCTATCTTTACAGATGAAGAATATATCCATGCCGAGGAACAGAGCATTGAGCCCAATGAGACCGGCCCTAGCTGACTTGGAGAAGGCAAGAGGCCCTTTGACTGCTGCCTGACCGATATCTGGGATATCTTCCGCCACCCTGGGAACGCTAAGTAAAGCTTTCCCTTCCTGCAATGCCACTTTATCAGCACTCATAGCCAGCTCTTCACTTTTTAACAGCTTGAAAGCAGAGGCTGCATCAACTAATGAGTCAATACCTTTTCCAATAACACCAGCTTTAGCAAACACCTTGCCGACCCCGAGAACATCTATGTGGATTGTTTCTCTTTCTGTGACCTCCTCCAGACACTCCTGGAGACACTGCACATCCTCCATGAAGCTCTCGAAGACTTCTCTGGCTTTCTTTTGATATGTATGGTTTACTCCAATCTCTGTGACGGTGGTGACAGCGCTGTTGACTCCGCTTGTAATTCCCATGCCTACCCCGGTCATTGTTAGAGCCAAAGACACTCCAGCTGTTACAGGAATTAAAGCCAACCCAACGATGGAGAGCACACCTCCTACTGCCCCCACTGAGCTGCCTGCCACACTGGAGATCTTTGCTCCCTTATTCATCCTGTCTAACTGAACAGCATGCTCCTCCAGGTCCTTGAGAGACTGTTCCATCCTCTGCTGTCGCTCTTTAAACTTATCGATGAAGCTAGAGCAGGGTTCGTCCTCCTGAAACAAGAACATCATCCGGAAGCTCTGGTTCATCCTGACGATGAGATAAGAGGAAATACAAAATAACATGATGAATGAAAAAGTTAGTATAACCTATAATACAGTATAGAAATATTGGATTTGAGATTTTCTTTATGGGACACACATTAGGAGAAAACAACGCAATAGAATCAACAAAAAACTAAATATTTCATAAGCCAGGTATGCTTTCAAAAACGAGTCCTGAATCATGGATATCTAGCTAGGTCTATTTGGTAACAAAAGTTACCTCTAAAACCCTGAAGTTGCTGCAAAATCAAACAACAGTATAGAGTCTAAAGCAGGGGTCGGCAACCCTAGGTGGCACGCGGTACCATAACCAGTGGCCCACTAGGAATAAGTGGAATAAGTGTGCAAAAATATTTAAATAGTATTTTCGGATCCGGAATGAGACCCGCCGCCAAAGCGCGTCTCCCCGTTACCTGCGGAAGGAAGCCATGCACGAAAGGAATACTATAATAGTTTAAAAAGGGGAGCGATTTGTAAAATATCCATAAAGAAAAAGAAAATCTGTTTACAGTTCTGTTTCATATGGGTTTTGACAGATGTATCTAGATATATTAATGTTGCTCTCAAAGTGCACCAGATTGATGCTTTTAACTTCAATATTTATAAAAAAAGAAAGCCTGCCTGTTGTGTGATAAATCGGATGTGGATGTTTTCATATGGATGGGAGCATACTTGGTGCTCATGTTTCTGTTCGTTACATTTAATTCACCCGTTTTGACATTTGCTGTTAACACATAAATAAATAAACGCAAGTTTATTGCAAAGATTGGTGCTTAATTGGTGATTGTTGGGGAAATATTTTCCAGGGCCCATAACTGTGACCCAGTAGTTTAAACTGTCCTGACTGAGCGCAGCCACCTGTAGCCTTGGAGGCTGTGCTCTCAGTGTTTTGTCTCCCTGTTCCTGCCTGTTGGCATAAGCTGATAGAGGTGTTATGCTTCTATCTTGTTGTGCACAATGTTGATTATTCCCTCAGAACTAGCTAAATACATGGGTCTGGGTTAGAGATCTTCAGAATTGATTTGGCATCTCAACCTGTGTCAACTCGTGGCTCATGACATGTCTTGTGAGTTCTCCGGCCGAAGCTCCAAATAAACCGTCAGTGTTTGCCATCAAAGCTCCAGCTCTCCTCGAGTCTCTCTGAGTCCTGTTTCCAATTGCTTCAGAAGTTTCCCCCACAGTGATTAGTGATTTCAACTCAGATGTGAATGTTTTCATAAGGATGGCTGCTTTCTTTTAAATGTTGCTATGCACTTTGATGTAATAAAATTATAGATCCGCTAGAAATGTTGTGATGTCATTATTGCAATTAATGATAATCTTAATGTGGATTTTTTTTTTAAATGGCACTTCATATCAAAAAGGTAGCTGACCCCTGGTCTAAAGCATTAATGCTGTGTCTCGAGCTCCTTTGCATATTTTAAACTTTTTTTAAATGTATTTTGCTTGTGTAATTGCATGACCATATTAGTTGAGCATGTTAGCATTCTAGGGTTTGCTAATTACCACTAAACATACAGTAAATCTGATGTTGAAGTAACTATTCAAATGTGTACAAAGATTTGTGCTATGCAGTCAACAACAAGCAAGCCAATTATTGAGTGCATGTCATCATTTTCAATATCATAACTCATCACACCTTGCACAGCTGTGTTGACAAAAACCACATAAAGGAGTTACACGTACCTGAGTTCCTCGAGCTGATTAATGTGATGAAGCATCCTTTGCGTGTCGTCTTCAGACAAATCCACAGCGAGGTCTACCAGTGTATCGTCGTTCATCTTCAGTGAAAAGTCACAGAAGGAGCTGTGAAAAACAGGAAAATATTTTTTATAATAGATGTTTATTTTGCTAAATGTGCATATTATTTTAAGGACATGCCTCTTTACCTTTTCTCTAACTTCTCACAGATGTTCTCGGTGGTCCTTATGTATTTGTCCAGCTGATATGCCAGCACTTCCACATTCTGAAGTTTGAGGCAGAAGAAGGCGTCTGCAACTCTTTTAAACTCGAGGAGGTGAGGGCAGATCATCCGTGCAGCAATGATGACAAGCTGAACCGTTACAGGGCTGATCCCTTCAGGCAGATGTAACACCTGGTTCTCTTCCATGAACAAAGGAAGTGAGGTGACCGCCAGATTCTCCACCGCAGCCAAGAAGCAGTCGAGCTCTTCCAGGCCTTTCAGAGTGGACTTCAGCAGAGCAGCCAGCTCCTCCTCCAGATCTGCTCGCCTGCTGTCTGCAGTCACCTGGGTTACCTTGCTCTTCATATATTGCAGAAAGGCTTTACCTCTGGTCTGTGACTGGGTAACATGGCCAATGCTGAGGTCAATGTTATCAGCTCTGGTTTTGATGTCCTTCATCATAAACAACTCTTTCTCCCTCTTTAGTATCCATTTAGAACTCTTCTCACAGAATTCTTTCACTGTGTCGATGTCGATGAGGGTGTCTGCGGTGTAGCAGCACAAGGCCTCCTGGAGGCCCTTTCTAAAATACAAAACATCATTCAGTTTGTGAAATTGGAAAACAAATTCAAATTGAATTGTCGTTGTGCCGTTGTTGTCTTTTATCACAAGATCTACCGTATATCTCCAGCTCTAGCTTTAAGTGTCCCCACCAAATATTCCCTGGGCCCAAAGCCTCTGGTCAAACTTATTCTTAAAAACACAGACAGCCCTTGATTATGGTTTTCTTACTCATTTACACAGACTGTTGACAGTCAGAGGAGGATTGGCTCACATCTGAAACCCCTCGCACTTAAACATAGGGTTTTACTTTAGGACCATCAATAAATTACCATTTTATGAGACAAAACATATCTTATTTCTAAACCACCATGCTGATTCATATAAGTGGCCAATGGCCATAATGCTAAAACAAATGTCACTGCAGAATTCTATAAGTACAATGAACAAGAGAAAAACATGTATTATTTAATGAAATTTAGTCCACATTCATCAGTATGGATAGGACTTTTGTTGTGCATTTTTATGTATTAAAGGTCACCTATTATGCAAAACCCACTTGTTGATGTATTTTATAAATAAACTTGTCTCCCTTGTAAAAGAGATCCGTGATCTCAAGGGACCTATCTGTCTAAATAAAGGTTTGAAATGAAAAATGAAATGAAAATGTGTCCCCTCTGTGTAAAAAGATTCTGAAAGTTTCAGGATAAAAGATTGGCTCACTTTTTGTCCTGATTCATTTATATAAAAACCTGTCTGAAAATGAGCTGATCATATTTTGGCCACTTTATGATGTCATAACGATTTTTTTCCTATTGTAACCATTAGCCAATCACCAACCAAGGTAACAACCCCCCCACCTTATCACCTGAATCTCCTCCTAGAGCACCATTGTGTTCTTTTTAACCAGATATCACTCAGAGGGGTGTGGGGAGTGGCTCCTTATTTTCATCTAAAGTAACAGACAGAGAATCAGCACTTTAGAAACAGGGCTGAAACAGAGGGGTTTTTTGGGATGCTACAATGCATGATCTGTTTGGTATTTCGAGCCAAACACATCAGAGACATGTTTTGTATATATCTGAAACCTATAATATATTGATGAAAAACAGTATGGGGACCTTTAATGTAAAAATCTTCCTCAATAAAATAGAAAGTTGACTGAATTAATAAAAAACGTTTTTCCTGTTTGTCGAGTGCAGTAATGATATATGTTATGAATTTGGAGTCACTGGGTAACATGAAATGGAAGGTATGCAAATAAATGTGTAATGCCTTATTTGTCCAGTATAAAGACGCAGCAGAAACCGGCGTGAATGTCTTTCAATTGACCAACCTAAAGCTAACTTCACCGCGTTAAATATCTAAATGATTTGACCAAATAACTCAATTTCTGTGCTGAGGAGCGTCGGTGTTGATCTGCTGTGGCGGAACATTAAGACAAAAAGTTAGAGAGCCTGTCTTTATCTTCAGGGTAAACTCAATACTGAAGTTGAACCGAAGTAAGAGTTCTGCTTCACCTGCACGAGTCACCGAGACAAAAAGCAACTACAAATTGAGTGACGTAAAGAAACTAAACTACAACAAAGAGACCGTGCTATGGCTACTTTTCAGTTTGTTGCCTTTTATCACATGATAGGCTTTAACATTACTTCCTACGTATATTTACTATTATAAAACACACAGTGGAAATAGCTAAAATGACACTTACTACAAAATACATCTTTAATGTATTTTTCTGTTCAAAAGTGTCTCAACGATATTGTTTACCTTGCAGCAGACATATTTCTCCTTTGACAGTGTGCGTTCTTCAATTCCTCCACAACTTATTACCTGCGTGTTTAAAATGAAAACAGAAAAATATTGTACATCTAACTTGTAACTAACACTGACCCGAGAAACTATACGACTAATCTGCTGAAAGCACTAACGCCAGACTACTTGTTAAGTACTTGTGTTGACATAAGGGCTGACGTGTTAGGTTTCATTTTCTTTTCTCCACCTCACCAGGTAAAACCACCCCACCTATTCCTGGACTGAGGGTTGAAAGGTTTAAGGTAGCAGCACACCTTTTGGTTTCTTGAGAAAAATAACTTTAAAAAGGCTGTCCGAAATAAACATTTTACTTTATGATGCTGTAATGACTGATAAGCTGACAAGATAAGCTGAATTGATTTACATATTTAATAAAGAATTATGTCAGTTTTTTAGCTTTCAGTAGTTGTGTTTCAGTGACTTTCAATCCATAATAGTTATTATGACTACATGGCCAAATAGGACAGACCTATTTTATTGGATTTTACAGCCTTTTCTATTTTATGAGAAATGACTTCTTAAAATTAGGAACTTCTCAAAGATACATGTGATGAAACAGTGATGTGTAAGCAGTTTCAATCAATCTCATTATGTGGTTATTTAGTGTCAGATTTGGCAACAAAGAAGAAATACAGTAAATGTCTCCATGTTGCTGTCAGTTGCCGTCTACCGTTTACCCCTCACTGTTTATTCATCATTCAATTCATTCTATATTTTATTCTGTCGATTGTGTACATTACTTTTCAATTTACTGATTTTTGCACTCCTGGTTAGAAGCTAAACTGCATTTTGTTGTCTCAGTATCTGTAATCTGTGCAATAACAATACAGTTGAATCTAATCTTGAGCAGGAACAAATGTATTTACTTAGTACATATCTGACATTAACGATTAAACACATTTGTGCATTCTTTAGAAGAGAGACACTTGCTCTGTCATAGGCCTACTGGGTCAGGCTACAAGGAAGTGGAGAGGAAAATATCACAAACAGAATACTACAGGATTGCTGGGAATACACAAAGTTCCAGGGGCGTGGGTTTGGCTGGACAAGTAAGGAGAGAACGAGGGCATATGGAGTGGAGACCATAAAGTTTGCCAAAGTAAGCCCATTTAGCAGTGTTCCCCCATGGCTTTTCCCAGAAGCTATACAGATGTGAATATACAGTACTGTATCTCATTATGTTCACTTGTTAATATTGCGATACTAAATCAAAATATTTCTAATTAAAGTGACATAGAGGATCCTTTTTTTCATCGAGTGGATTTTGGCTTCCATTCCATTGGCTTCCACCAATTATCGCTATGAACTATTATCACCTATTGCATTATTACGTTACATTTCATTCAGCTTATGCAAATAGTCTTACAATCAGTGTAATCAACCATGAAGATACAGACTTAACACACCAGGCATGCTGTAAGTACATAAGCTTTCAATGAGCCACAACTTTTTACATACAGTACTACATGCTGAAATAAGAAGTTTTGTTAACGTTTAAAAGGTTAAGGCGCCGCTGGATCCAGAGTGAAGAGGCGTGTCGGTGATGATCTGCTGTGGCAGAAAGATTAAAGGGGACCTATCATGCAAAATGCACCTTTGTACGTCTTTTATACATGAATATGTGTCCCCGGTGTGTCAGGGAACTCACCAAGTGTCAGAAAACACAACCCTCTCTCTTTTCCTCCATACCCAAAATCTCTAAAACGGGGGCTGCAACGGATCTGATACAGACTGATACAGATTTGAAATATCTCTGATGTCAGTGACGAGGAGCTCCGCCTATATGGCCAACTCTCCACCAATCAGGGGAATGAGAGGTTGCCGTGGCATGGTAACAGCATGGTAACATGACGCTCGTAACTCGGCCCCCTCCTTTGCAGGGGGGGGGGGGGGGGGTGGTCAGCTGCAGCGCATGCAAAGACAGGGTGGGGGGGAGCAAAATAGAGCGAAATGAGGCATGGCTAAAATGCATGATGTTTGCTATTTTGAAAAAGAAAACGTATAAATATACCTTATATAGGTATGGCCCTACAATATATTATTCAAATATAGCATGATAGGTCTCCTTTAAGACAAAGAGTCAGAGAGCCTTTCTTTATCTGCAGATTTAGCTGAATTTGTACTGAAGTTTGACCTGTGAGTTCTGCTTCACCTGCACCTGTGACTGAGATAGGTATTAATCAACTTCACATGGCCAAAAAGCCACTACAAAGACAGACACAGAAGAATGCAAGAAAAACAACCACAGACAGATGTGACATGGCTACTTCTCTATTTGTTGTCTTTGTTAAACAACAGGCTTTAACATTACTTCTTCCGTTTATTTAATATTTCAAAACTCATATGACACTAAGTTGTTACTCGAGGGTTAATGTCTTTAATGTCTTTTTCTGTGCAAAAGTGGCTCAACTATATCAATGCTTTACCTTTCAGCAGACATGTTAACAATTATTATTGCCTGGTAGTTAAAGGCAATAAAATCCAAAGGATTGTTGCCAAATAATTTTTACATTCAAATACATAACAACCTCAAGAATAACCAAACAAAAGAAACCCTTTACCAAACTCCCCTCTCTCTTCCTTGACTTCAAAGTCAAAGTTATTGACATCAGCTGGAGTTGTTTAGTAAGTCAACTTTCTCCGGTTGACCTGACTCTGGCTGACTACCAGTTGTGCTGAGCTGCCGGTATTATCATTACGAGAGATTGAATGCATAATATATGAATAGTGGGATTGAGAAGCTTAAAGAAAATAATTTTAAATAATTATAGTAAACAAAAGCATCGAAATGCTTCGAATATATATCTATATATTAATGCATCATTCAAATGAACAGAAACAACTTTTTAAAACTTTATTGAGTCATTTGTACAAGAAGAAAAGGTAGTTAGAATTATACATACAAATAATGCAGATCATACATATTATAGAATTAACTTCATTTATTCTGTACACACAACATCTTTTCCACGTCCTTGTTGCGGGATCCCTCTTCAGTTGCTCGCCCAGACGTTTCTTTTTCATTTGAACCTGTTTATTCTGGAGTTTCTCTTATTTAGTTGTTCTTTGTGCACTGCAGGGGTTATATACATTGAATGTGATTAAATGATTGATTGATTGATATTTAGTTTAACATTAGTATATAGGAAAGGTTTAGAAAAATCACTTCTTAGAATGAGGAACTTCTCAAAGATACAGTATATGTGATGAACAGTTATGTGTACGCAGTTTAAATCAATCTCATTATGTGGTTATATCAGATTTGGCAACAAAGAAAAAATACAGTTATTGTCTCCATTTAGCTGTCAGTTGCCGTCTATTTAAGTTGCTTAGCGCTTCTTCATCTTCCTCTCTGGAAAAATTGGTGTCTCCAGGATAGCCTTGTTTTCTTCAGATATCTTCAAACCTTCGCAGAGTAAGTCATGGATCTTCTGCCATGAGTCCACCTCTGATCTCCAAAGTGCTGCTCTGGCTCTGATAAACTGTGAGACCTCAGTTTCGCTTCCTTTGGCCAGACTGATGCTATCTTTACAGATGAAGAATATATCCATGCCGAGGAACAGAGCATTGAGCCCAATGAGACCGGCCCTAGCTGACTTGGAGAAGGCAAGAGGCCCTTTGACTGCTGCCTGACCGATATCTGGGATATCTGCCGCCACCCTGGGAACGCTACGTAAAGCTTTCCCTTCCTGCAATGCCACTTTACCAGCACTCATAGCCAGCTCTTCACTTTTTAACAGCTTGAAAGCAGAGGCTGCATCAACTAATGAGTCAATACCTTTTCCAATAACACCAGCTTTAGCAAACACCTTGCCGACCCCGAGAACATCTATGTGGATTGTTTCTCTTTCTGTGACCTCCTCCAGACACTCCTGGAGACACTGCACATCCTCCATGAAGCTCTCGAAGACTTCTCTGGCTTTCTTTTGATATGTATGGTTTACTCCAATCTCTGTGGCGGTGGTGACAGCGCTGTTGACTCCGCTTGTAATTCCCATGCCTACCCCGGTCATTGTTAGAGCCAAAGACACTCCAGCTGTTACAGGAATTAAAGCCAACCCAACGATGGAGAGCACACCTCCTACTGCCCCCACTGAGCTGCCTGCCACACTGGAGATCTTTGCTCCCTTATTCATCCTGTCTAACTGAACAGCATGCTCCTCCAGGTCCTTGAGAGACTGTTCCATCCTCTGCTGTCGCTCTTTAAACTTATCGATGAAGCTAGAGCAGGGTTCGTCCTCCTGAAACAAGAACATCATCCGGAAGCTCTGGTTCATCCTGACGATGAGATAAGAGGAAATACAAAATAACATGATGAATGAAAAAAGTTAGTATAACCTATAATACAGTATAGAAATATTGGATTTGAGATTTTCTTTATGGGACACACATTAGGAGAAAACAACGCAATAGAATCAACAAAAAACTAAATATTTCATAAGCCAGGTATGCTTTCAAAAACGAGTCCTGAATCATGGATATCTAGCTAGGTCTATTTGGTAACAAAAGTTACCTCTAAAACCCTGAAGTTGCTGCAAAATCAAACAACAGTATAGAGTCTAAAGCAGGGGTCGGCAACCCTAGGTGGCACGCGGTACCGTAACCAGTGGCCCACTAGGAATAAGTGGAATAAGTGTGCAAAAATATTTAAATAGTATTTTCGGATCCGGAATGAGACCGCCGCCAAAGCGCGTCTCCCCGTTACCTGCGGAAGGAAGCCATGCACGAAAGGAATACTATAATAGTTTAAAAAGGGGAGCGATTTGTAAAATATCCATAAAGAAAAAGAAAATCTGTTTACAGTTCTGTTTCATATGGGTTTTGACAGATGTATCTAGATATATTAATGTTGCTCTCAAAGTGCACCAGATTGATGCTTTTAACTTCAATATTTATAAAAAAAGAAAGCCTGCCTGTTGTGTGATAAATCGGATGTGGATGTTTTCATATGGATGGGAGCATACTTGGTGCTCATGTTTCTGTTCGTTACATTTAATTCACCCGTTTTGACATTTGCTGTTAACACATAAATAAATAAACGCAAGTTTATTGCAAAGATTGGTGCTTAATTGGTGATTGTTGGGGAAATATTTTCCAGGGCCCATAACTGTGACCCAGTAGTTTAAACTGTCCTGACTGAGCGCAGCCA